GAAATTGTCATACTCATTTTCTTGAGGATTCTCTGGTGAACAATAACTTAAAAACAATTTATTTGAAATAGAACATTACACATTTATTTACGGTCACATTTGACCCATTGAATGTGTGCTTGCTGAATGCAAGTATTCATTTCTAAAAAAAAATCGTATTGACCCCAAAATTCTGAATGGTAGTCGCACACATACACAATTTTTTATATAACTCCGACTGGATTCGTCTGAAAGAAGAAAGTCATATACACCTAGGATGACTTGAGGGTGAGTAATTTATGGGCTAATTTTCATTTTTGGGTGAACTAACCCTTTAAGCTTGACTTTCTCTTTTCTTAACACATGCCTTATTTTATAATCAAGCTCTGTCTCCTTAGTAACTAAAATAACTTTAAAAGATAAATTGTTTGTTATTATTGTCTTACGATTATTTAATTCTTAGTTTAGATGATCACAATTATAATAAATTATGATAGATTTTATTTTAAGATTGAAATGAAATGTATAATGGCATTACAAAATAGCTGTCAGTTATAAAAGCTGTAAAAAATCAAGTCCTGGTGTTGAAGAAACACTCAATTATGAATTATTAAACTCAAAAGGGTTTATTACAAATAACAACACTCTATGAACATTTAAATAGACTTTGAGTGTCCTGCATAGATGTGGGTGTTGTTTCCAGGGGTCTTGCTTAAAAATCAAAACCAAAATACAATACTTGTATTTTACCATGCATGTTAAAGGTCATCTCTACTGTGCTTTTGCCAAGGACATCACCTTTGCTTGTCTATGGCAGCCTTCAGCATGCATGCACTGATTATGTGAAAAATTTCTGATGCAAAAGGGGGTATTTACTGTAGGTGCAGGTACCTCGAAGAACAGAGCAGAGCAGACCTGATCTGACCTGACCTGAAAAATTCATGAGTTATTGTCCATGGAGCCGTACTAGAATAAGCAGACCGCTCACAGGAACAGAATGGACAGGAATACTGAACAGGAAACCTGTTAGTCCTTCATAAATTCACACAACTCAAAATAAATGACTGACAGTTTCAACAAAACACACGCACGCAGAAGCGAAAGTGCTGAACTGAAATACAGCACGTAAAATTCCTCAAAACTAAATGAGAAAGGCTTTATGAATATTTTAAAGTCTGGGTATAAACGTGTGTTTGTAAGATACTACAACCAAAGCCTTTAAGATGTAGATATTTTGTGCAATCACTGTTCAAGAGCAACACTTACAGTACATTTGGGTATTCTTCACACAGCGAGTGCATGAATCGTATAAGCTAATATTACTTTTACTTATTTTTTTACATTTTTCTTCCTTGTTGTATGGAAAAGAGCTCCATGAAGATCCTTCACAACTCTCCTTTTATTATACTGAAAAAATGACCGTGATTAAATAAACAATTTTCATTTTCAAGTGAACTATTCCTTAAGGAAGTATTAACATCTGTCTGAATTCCCATTGCAGCCTACAACAGTTAAAATGTTAATTCTAGCTATCTACTGTATAACCACATATTTATATATTACCTTTAAAATGTTTGGGATCAGTAAGATTTTATTTTTTGAAAGAAATTTATATTTTTATTCAGCAATGAAGCATTAAATTGATCAAAACGGAAATGCATAACCAACTACAACCACTAACCAACATAAATGTATGTATATATATATTTATATATATATACAGTGCCGTGAAAAGGTTTTTGCCCCCTTCCTGTTTTTATTTTTATTTTTTGCATATTTGTCACACTTAAAAGATTCAGATCATCAAACCAATTTTAATATTAAGCAAAGATAATGCAAGTAAATACAAAATGCAGTTTTTAAATGATAATTTAATTTATTAAGGGAAAAAAGCTGTCCAAACCTACCTGGCCCTACGTGAAAAATTATTTGCCCCCCCCTCTTAAATCATGAAAGAACTGTGATTAACCACATCATTTTAGAAAGCTGAGTTAAATTTCACTAGCCACACACAGGCCTGATTACTGCCAGACCTGTTGAATCAAGAAATCACTTAAATAGAACCTGCCTGACAAAGTGAAGCATGCTTAAAGAGCAACACATCATGCCGCGAGCTAAAGAAATTCAAGAACAGATGAGAAACAAAATAGTTGACATGTATCAGCCTGGAAAGGGTTATGAAGCCATTTCTAAGGCTTTGGGACTCCAGCGAACCACGGTCAGAGCCATTATCCACAAATGGAGAAAGCTTGGAACAGTGGTGAACCTTCCCAGGAGTGGCCAGCCTACCAAAATTACTCCAAGAGCGCAACGACGACTCATCCAGGAGGTCATAAAAGAACACAGAACAACATCTAAAGAACTGCAGGCCTCACTTGCCTCAATTAAGGTCAGTGTTCATGATTCAACAATAAGAAAGAGACTGGGCAAAAACGGCATCCATGGGAGAGTTCCAAGGCAAAAGCCATTGCTGACCAAAAAGAACACAAAGGCTTGTCTCACATTTGCCAAAAAATATCTTGTTTATCCCCAAGACTTTTGGGCAAATATTCTGTGGACTGATGAGACAAAAGTTGAACTTTTTGGAAGGTGTGTGTCCCGTTACATCTGGCGTAAAACCAACACAGCATTTCATAAAAAGAACATCATACCAACAGTCAAACATGGTGGTGGTAGTGTGATGGTCTGGGGCTGCTTTGCAGCTTCAGGACCTGGATGACTTGCCATAACTGATGGAACCATGAATTCTGCTCTCTATCAGAAAATCCTGAAGGAGAATGTCCGGCCGTCAGTTTGTGACCTCAAGCTCAAGCGCACTTGGTTTATGCAGCAGGACAATGATCCAAAACTGTTGGCACAAGCTACATTAAAGTGATTATTACGTTTTTGAATATGGATATTTTTCTTACAAAAACGCATGGATTAGCTAGAGGAGGCCTTTGTTCACCCCCCGGAGCCGTGTGAGACACTTTTTTTTATGGATGGGCGCTTTTTATTTAACTTGTTTTGGACTGATGCATGCAACACCCGCTGAGTGGCATTAAACAGCTTGAAAGATCAAAGACAATTTTTAATATAACTCCGACTGGATTCGTCTGAAAGAAGAAAGAACCTTTAAAATGTTTGGGATCAGTAAGAATTTATTTTTTGAAAGAAATTAATATTTTTATTCAGCAATGATGCATTAAATTGATCAAAACTGAAATGCATAACCAACTACAACCACTAACCAACATAAATGTATGTATATGTATATATATATATATATATTGTGCACATGTACATTTCTTGATGCCAGAGCCTGCAGTGTTCATGCAGAAAAAAAATAGCCGGAGGGATATTTCTGCACTGCCTTTGTGTGAAGACTGAAATTACATACAAAAATAGATGACCTGACATTTTCTAGTAGGCTCCATCAATTTCGGCAACTGGTAATGCACTATATCGGTGGTAGCCGGTGATGTCAATCTTTATTGTCTGGAACCATTCTAGTGTGAATGAAACATGCATGCTGAAGTCAAAGGGAAATGTGAAAAGCAATTTGCACAAGTTAAACCGTAAAATTAATCCAACCTACAACAAGCAATTTAATCAAGTAGATAAATAGGCAATATCATATACAAATAAAATGACCAAATTGATCTTATATGATTACTAGACTAAAGGGACAAGTTTGCAGAAGATACCTTACTGAAAGTCTGACAAAATGACACTCACTCAATATTTGCTCAAAGAAAATTGCGCCTTACAGCTGTTGGAGAAACCCTGACATTATCCACAACATGATAAACTGCGAAGCACAACTCTGATCAGCAATGGCAACATTCATCAATAATAAATATCTCACCAAGGGCTGCAAGAAAAGACACAATCTGACACGTTCATTTTCACAGTGCGAGTCTCAGTCTTGACATCTAACGGTGATAATTTCACCTGCAATTTCCAACCTAAAAAGAGCCAATGCAATTGATATTGTGCATTTAAACATGGAGAGCAACATTTACTTGTCTATACACAAGATGTTTGGATTGCATTAGTAGATATTATCCAGGACTAAATTCTAGAACTTACAGTCCAGCACTTAAAGCCAGTTTTCCTCAAACCATCAAGTTAGCCCTTAAAAAGCTTTCGCCTGACAGCTTTCCTCAGACCAGCATTGGACCCGTTCAGAAGACTAATTAAATCAGCTTCAACTCAGTCCAATAGCAGTAGGACTGTACTTTAGTAACAGGAACAGCAGCACAGACACTAATTAAGATTAAGCAAAAGACCTTCCTTGCTTAAGAATCACCATTCAAGGTATTTAAAGGAATAGTTCACCAAAAAAAAAAAAGGAAATTTGCTGAAAATGTACTCATCCTCGTGCCATGATGAAGACTAGTTTGATTCTTCAACTGAACAGATTTGGATAAATTTAGCATTATGTCACTTTCTCACCAATGGATCCTCTGCAGTGAATGGGTGCCGAACAGCCAAACATCACAAGAATCCACAAGCAATCCACAGGACTTCAGTCCAGATTAGATAACATCATCTTGTGAAGCGAAAAGCTGCACGTTTGTAAGAAACAAATCCATCATTAAGATGTTTTAACTTTAGACTGTCACTTCTGCCACTTCTCCAATGAAAAAAGTCCATCCCCCTCTTGTTCTCTCACATCAAAATTCACCAAAATATTTGTTTAGAACTGTTTTGGACTGTTTTCACTTGTAAGCGAGAAAGAAATAATATGGATAGAGGACTCATATTTTAGCCAGAAGAAGCAGTTTAAAGTTAAAAATGTCTCGATGGATTTTTTTTTTTTTTTACAACTTTTTGCTTCACAAGATGTTAATTGATGGACTGGAGTGTTTTTTTTCAGCTGTTTGGACTCTCATTCTGACGGCACCCATTCACTGCAGAGGATCCATTGGTGAGCAAGTGATGTAATGCTAAATTTCTGCAAGTCTGTTTAGACAAGCTCATCTACATCTTGGATGGCCATGAGGGTGAGTAATTTTTTTTAGCAAATTTTAATTTTTGTGTGAACTAGTCCTTTAAAATGAAGAGTTCACTCCAAAATAAAAAATATGTTTACTCGCCTACTTCACAGCTCAAGAGGTGAATAAAATCTCTTTGTGCTTACTTCAGACAGTACAGTAATTCAAATCCGTAACAATACAAATATATATATAATAGTTCGTTTTTCTTCTGCTTGATGTTTTCCCCTTTTCTATAAACAATACCCTACCAGTATATGCCAAGTCCTTGCAATGAATGACCTAAAGGATAAAATGGAACAAAAATAAATAAGATACATTCTTTTACAGACAGGAGTGTTGTTTCAGTAAGGTCACATTGTGGCACAAAAAAAGGAAGCTCGTTGTGTAATTTCTTCCTCATCTTTTTCCCTTTATATTATTTTGTTCAGTCACTACTTTCCAGCATCTCTTAATCGACAAGCCACAGCCGTGATGAGGGCAGCACCTTTTCCGCTGCCATCTTCTGATTGGGCGAGAGTAACCTCACAGTTGGGCGCCAGGTCTCTTAAGGTCTCTCGCATAATGGTAGCAAAGCTGATGAGACAAAAGAGGAGAGCCAGCATGGATGAACAACAGGACTTATTATATTCCAGCTTTATTAAAAAAAAAAGATTTTTGATAGCTTTATTTTCAGGTAATAATAACAACACAGAACTCAATCTAATAGCTTGACAAGCAGTTTTCTTTTTCATGTTGACTTATTTCCTATTGAAAAACGCATAATGGTAGCAAAGCTGATGAGACAAAAGAGGAGAGCCAGCATGGATGAACAACAGGACTTATTATATTCCAGCTTTATTAAAAAAAAAAGATTTTTGATAGCTTTATTTTCAGGTAATAATAACAACACAGAACTCAATCTAATAGCTTGACAAGCAGTTTTCTTTTTCATGTTGACTTATTTCCTATTGAAAAAGTTGTTGAGGCAGAATATACCAAATAGCTTATCACTTTTTTAATAGCCAATAGTCTTTAATTTGTTCTTTGTTCCAACAGACTAAAAGTGTGAATAAAGCTGAAACGGCCAAATCAGGGTATATGCTTGGCTTCCTTTTGCTAAAGTGAAAATCGAAACTCATCTCAAACTCCCTTTATTTCAAAGGAGAGTAGAAGTGGTTTTTTTTTCTGTTAAAACGGTGGCTGAAGAAAAAAAGTCCCACTACGAGCCTTTGCATGATAAATTTTCACATCAAATGTGTGCCAAACTTTTGCTACCATATTCAATACTGTTTTCTCAGCATATAACACTGTCATTTTTGATTCATAAAATTACTCTTTTCAAAAGTGACTCTCAGTAAGGTAGGCGGGGGGCTTCTGAAAACAATGCTTAAAAGCACAACATGTTCCTCCAGGGAGGTATTTTAAGGGTTGTTTGAGTGACAGCTTGACAGTATACGGTCACTGACACTTTCATCAAACTGTTAGATAAACTCAGTCTTAACGCTGTATATGGAAAAATGCTATTCCACCAACTTAAGCATCATGAACAGGGTTTGCACTGGCTAGGATAAACTGGCTTTGGTAAGTTAGCTATAAGTACAGAGAAACAACAAGATAACACATGATTTAAAAAAAAAAAAAAACTTAAATTACTTATAATTAAAAATAATAATACTTAAAAATTTATTAAATTAAAATGAGTGCTATGACTACAGAAAACAGAGAAATCGGGGGGGGAAAGCCTGTGGTGTTCCCTTCAACACCCATAATGATGATCATAGTGATTTCAAACTATGCTGCACTTTATCTATCTGCCCACTGTCATATTCATGTCATTTTCACTGTGTGCTGCATGTAAAATGAGTGTTACCTTGGCTTTATTTGAAAAAATATGATTCCCAATGCACACAAACTTCCCAGATTACTGAGTGCCCTGTTTGTAATCGGATTACAGAATCAAGAAGTTGTCATCTAAAGTATAAGAATGTTTATTTTACACATGTATTTTTAAAATTCATTTTCGAATTATTTAAAATTTCTTATTTATATATATATATATATATATATGTATATGTATGTGTGTGTATTTTATTAG